CCCGATAATACACACTTACTTCCGAATGATATTTATCCTCTATAACCTGAAATCATAACTTTGATGAGACAAGTGATTCTTGTGTGGCATGACACAATATCGTATCATAATATAATTGTAAACCCATACCTTGATCGCAACATTAATCGGAGTGCTTCGACATGATTGCGTTTCTTCGACACTTACGATTTTTCGATTATATCTGCACCACAAGCGTCCCGACATCACAAATGACCGCGCGCAATATATTGCAAACGAGCACGGAAAGCGTTAAACATTCCAATTTCCGATTCCGTTAGTCTTGGTCCGATTCCGACGTTCCGAGATACTACGTGAGTCAAATATGGCTGTCACGACGCGACACGACGTTACGCGCGTATCTCTAGCGGAATCGGAAGTTGCGCGCGGAATCGGAACGTGCCGTCTAGAATGCATACCCGTGGTTATTTGTGGCATCGGGACGCTTGTGGTGTAAATATAATCGTAATCGAGCATCGAAGGAACGCAATCGTGTCGAAGAATTGCTGTAATTAACGCTATGATCGCAGAGTCATAATTATATTACGGTACAGTATGTCACAGTCGTAAGAATCACTTGTCTCATCGCATCAGAGTTACGGTTAGAGAGGCGCGCGCAAGGTTAGTTCAAATAAATATTATTCGCGCAAGAGTAAGCATACAGTGTGTGTGTTGTGTACTGGCAGTGCCGAAAATATATATAATATCGGGCGATTGTCATAGTATGTCTAGATGTAATATATTGCGTCGTTAATGCGAATGTGCGATAATTCAAACAAACACAAGCTCAGAATATATCAGCAGAAATAATACAATAGTAAGTTATGAGAATAAAAATATCGCCAAGTAAGATTACAGTATCGAGAATATTAAGAAAAGTGTCGAACGCGCGATTTTATATTATACATAAATACAATATATCGCATCGGTAATATATGTAATAGTTTGTGCATCATTTTTTAAATTAAAAATTTGCTTTATTATTTATAAAAGACATATTATTTTCAAATTTATAGCAATGTTGGGTATAATACACATACAATCACTGCGTTCAAAAATTACAATTACATACAAAATAAGAACTTTAAGAAAGCAGATTCAGCTTTTACGCCTTAAAATGTATAAAATATGAATTACCAAAAAACTTGTGAAGTGGCTTCTACACTGATGATTTACCATATTGTCATAAAAATATACAATTTACCATATTATTATATAATTACATGTAATTACATATCAAAAATATTTTTATTTTATGTTTAAGATTTATATTTATTATTTATGTCAGACTTAAATTTTTTATTTATAAAAATTTAATTCAATTAAATCATTTATATTTTTTTACAAAAATTTATGTCTAGTAAAAAAAATTTTTTCAGTGATTATGTATATATATATAATTTTTTAAATTAAATATCTGAGTTAAGAACAAAAAGTATCTGATTCTGAACAAATAATAAATTGCGTATAATTAAATTAAAAATATTAGTTACTTCGAACATTATTTTAATTTAAATTTATTTATATTTTACAGATCAACATACGTACTACAATTTTGCCGTTATGCATCGTATCGGTGAGTAATGAATTATTTCTTATTTTATGCAAAAAGATGTTAACGTAGTATGATGGCAAATATCTTACACAAAATTAAAAGTAAAAAAAATTTTTTTAATGTAGATAAATATGTACTTTATGTATTTTCACAAATCTCTCTTGATGTATAAAACATTTCCAATTTATGCTCTTTTTTGCATTTCTCGTCGAAAGATATCGCATTATTTACATTTATACTGAATATGTATATACGTCGTACAATAATTTTTTGATTATTATACGAATCTTATATATTAATATATTAATTGCCCAATTTCTTGAAATACAGTCTTCAGATTAGACTCACGACTTAACAAAATATTAACACATTGTTACATCTTCTAATAATCTTTGCCTTTTCGACCCAAGATTTTTTCACGTTGACGCATCAGTTCCTCTTCAGTAATTTGGACTTGACATCTATTTGCGTAACGGTGACATTTTATATTGGCACAGCATTGTGAGTCAGAAACGCACTAAAATTTAACAAACAAAACGTTATTCATCTATTAAACTTATTCAAACAATAAAGAATATTAAATTAATGTCAACTCTATAAATTTGAATATTAATAAGATATATAAATCTTTTTTTTAAGAAAATATTTTAATAAATGAATAAAAACAAGATTGTTTACTAAAACCTAATATAATTGAGATACATATATATATCTCAAAAATAAAAAATTATATCTAAAAATAAAAATTCTTTTTTAATTTTTAATAAATGTATAACAATAAATTTTGTTTTATTCTGAATTGATTCGATCATAACGGAACTGCCGCGGAAATATTACACTTTTTTTCTATATTATAATTTTTTCTATATTCGACCGCTATTTTTTCAATATTAGTATTCTTGCACTTTCACTTATTGTACAATATTGACGCAAGCTATCATAAATGTTTATATTGAATCATTTAGAATTCCATTACAAATTTATTGCAAAATTGGCAAGATTATGAAACCATGAGATAAAAGTATTTTTTCCGTTTTCCTTATTGATCATAATAATATTGTGTATACTTTTTAGAAGTGAGAGTGAAAGAATATACAAGAGAAGTCTATATAAGAAATAGCGACTTTATCAGACAAGTGAAATAAATAAAAACATATATGTATATACTAACGGGGTCACCATGTCGACCACAGCTTGACTTATCGGCGGCCATGATAAGAGACGCAGCTAGTAACGCTACGAAGACGTATAAGATTAATTTTGCCATCTTTTCACAGTAACTTTTCTTATTCTGCAATCAAATAATTATAGTAGATTATAATATACGCAAATAATACAGAATGTTTCAAAATGCGATAATTTCATATAAATTAAAAAATTTAAATAAAATAATATATAATTGCAATTTTAATTATATTAGAATAAGACATATAGTTTTTTATTTCATTCTCACACATATCATTACATTAATGCCTAATTTATGCCAGACATGTTTAAATGTAAATTCAGCTTACGTAATATCATAAGTCGACCATGAATTTTATCTTAATAAGCACAGCCGGTTACAGGTATACGCGAATGAATCATCAAGGACTCAGTGTCTGATTCTATTAGTTCTCTGATACATTGTCAAAAGATACTATAGAACTACAAATATAAACTATAAATATAAAACTACACAATAAATAATAAAAATGTATAACATTACATGTGTTCATGTGTAATTTTATATACTTTCTACAATGTGGAGAAAATAACTGCTGAATCACACTTTGTAAATTTATATTATTCGGTTATGAAAACGTCTAATATGCTATCAAAATATAAATATCATTAAATATAGGCGATATCCTGTCATGTATATAAAAAAATGTAACAACTTTTCTATAACTATTCATCGTTGGACAAACGTATCATGACGTAGTAAATATTAAAAAATTGGAAAATAGTAATAAGTGTAAGAATATATCGGATTTTTGTTAATAAAAAAATTATTTCTAATATTCTCTTCAAATATATTTATTTAAAATGAAACAAGTATAATAAAATTGAGAAGTTATTGACTAAATCGAATATATGATAGTAATAACTATCTAATAAATCAAATTTTTTCTTATGTCAACGATTTTATAACTATTTTTTAATAGAAATAATCAGCTGTTTTTATAAATAGCTTTATAATTATCAAAATTTTATTGTATGTAAACAAGTCACACATACACAATATATATCTAAAATAATACAAATTTCAAATAGATATACGCGATTAATAATTCGAGTTGGTAAATACTCACGGGATACTTTAGCGAACGTTCCTTCTTGGCTCCGACCGTTTAGAAAGCTCGACCTCGACTGATTTCTTCAGTTACACGGTCAAAGCATTTATACAACTACGACACTCACACAGATAAATTTGTACGTATCATGTTATTGTAAATGTTCGACGACAGAGTTATGATTATAGTCGTTACATTTTCTCATACGCATATTTCTTTTCCTATTTCTTTGTTCGTGATGTCTTATCTAAAGTCAGCGATATTATTTATGCCACACATTTACATTAACAATTCAATTTATATATATATTAGTTATTATATAAAAAATTTTCCATATTTAAAAAATACATTTTTAAAGACAAATTCTTTGAAAGTATTGATATCATACTTTTGACAGGGGGAAAGATATTTTATATAATTTTGAATATCTGTTCTTAGAAAGCACTTTGTAATGTCATGTTAGATTATCCTATCGAGGCAATAATAATACATTTTAATTCATCAATAAAAATTTTTTATATATGTATATGAAAATGATGTATAAGCACGTAAGTTGTAAAATTCACAGGATTTCTATTATATATTAATCATATTTTTAATATTAAATTAATTGAGAAATTGTTTATGATATTTGATTTTTTGTGATACTTTCATTAATTTTATTTTAAAATAGTCGATTTTTGAGACATATATTTATTCATTATGCATTATACAAGACAATATGAATATTTTAGGCAGAAAAGATCGTTATATTGAAAAAAAAGTATAAAAATAATGGGCTAACATGAGCATGAAAAGATTCTTAATAAATAAAAATTTTTTAAAGAACGTAGATAAAATTGTCAAAATATCTTTAATAGATTTTTTTATAGTGTTGAAATGTGTGTCTCCTTCTTATACCTGTTAAAAATATTTTAATTATTATATATCTATACGTTTCTTAAAAAAATTTTATTTGTTAACGATCTTTTCATGTTCGTATCAGTTCATTATTTTTGTACTTTTTTTCAATATAATAATTTCAGATTAGATAATGTTTTTTTTGCATTTAAAGTATGTATATAATATTTGTTAATTTTATGCCTTGAAACATTCAATATTCTAAATATTTAAAAAAATCACTTATATTCTAAAATTAATACAAGCAACTCCGACGCGACTTAAGTGCCAATAAAGGTAATAAACGTTGTATTGCGGAAGAGTAAATCATACTATAGAGCCATCCGTTACGTCAATCTTAAACTCACGTTTGCAAGAAAAATTGTTTTGCAGTTATTGCAGATTTCGGTTATTACAGTTCATCTTATACGCATAAAACGAGAATATGAGAATGCAAAAAGGCGCCTTCCGCTGATATTCTCTTTCCATTTCAACAGTATCGAATGCACAAGTGCTTTTTGCCCTTTGCGCCGGCATTCTATCGAGTGCATATTGCGCGCCTCGTGCATTCCATTGATTCCCCGACAAAGCGCTCTTGTTCTTTAATTCGGTTGACAGGAAACAACAGGAAAGGAAACTGAATCATCCGGTAGCATTGTCCTTTTGTTCGCCCATAGTGGCTGAATAGGAATATAGTCGGGGTTTTTTTCCTGTCATCGGCGAAGCTTCGACACATCATGAGCCGAATTAACCTTTTTAGTATATCCGCAACAGTGGCAGACACGCTTGACGCTTTTAAGCGACATTCACGTTTCACGGATTTACCGTCGTCTGTTCGACTCAAGTGCTATCGCCGTTTTAAGCTTTTCAGTGTCAATTGACGTATATGAGATATTCAAGAAATGTACAAAATGAATATTTACATACGTTTTGTTTGTTTAAATTATTAATTTCATATAAAATTTGTATATCTAAACATAAAATATACTCACACTCCTTTTCTGATAATCTTCGATACTGATAATCGATAGTAGATAATCAATTTGTAAGTAGAGGAAAAATGATAAGTAGCGAGTAGTATATTTAAACAGCTTTTGCTTTGCCAATACAAAATGCATTACCGATTTTGACTGTATACATATTGTTGAAAATTAATATGAAACAATATAAATACCCGAGAATTTACATTTAATTGGTGAAAATATAAACATATAAAGAGTGCGTGCGTATGTCAGATCTCCAGTTTAACAAAATGCAACATAATACCAATTATTTCAATATTATTAAATATCATGCTCATTTATATCGCATTTATATTGTCCATGAACACACATGTTTTATGCAACATTTATAGAATTTTAGAGGATTGTGTGTTACTTTTATCGATAAAATGTAATAGTTGCGCAATTGCTTCATAATCAAGTAATGTTTATGATCCTATTTTAGGCCCAATTGGGTAATAATATATGCAATTAAGATTACTACTAAGGAATATAAACACACTTGATCAAATTACTGAATAATAACTTAATAAAGTACTCGTTATTTACTATTTGTATTGTAAAGGCAAAATAAAAATCAATTTAGATTTTTTTATTTTAATTGATTAGTAAAACTGTTTAATTATTTAAACGGTTTTAAACATACTTGTTAATACGTATGTACATTCGTAGAGATATATTTTGTGAAAAATAGATGTTTTTTTTGGTATTCAACTCTTATATGATTTCAATTATAAATTTATAAAGTGTTAATAATAACACACGCCGATCTTTTTACATACTCATCAACCTCGTTGATTAATTAATATATATTTAATTATGCATCTAACACACAGCTAAACATAGCGTTCATGGTAGGAGCTATAGCGTGTAATAATAGATATTAAATTTCAAGCACATCCGATTATATATACCCGCAGATGTATTTACGATAATCCCTCCAAATAATAATGGGCGCGGTCGTCTAATTCGTTTTAATCATTACCGAAGAATTAATGATTGTGTGTAAGTACAGTTTTAATATGCATATAGTAATTTCACAAACATTTTGTTCTATTCTATCTATTTTAAATATTATTTAAAGTACTATTACACAGTTTACATTTGTCCATTAATTATTTATTTATTTAAAAATATTTATTGGTATACAATTTCTAAATGTGTTCTTTATTAAAAATTTTACATACAATATATAAAGACTCTGTTCCTTAAAGAAAAAGCGGCATTGTAATAAGATATAAAAAGGTATCAAGCAAGTGGTGCATTTGGTGGATATGGTCCAGGACCAAGAGGTCTGTTATCTTGTCCGGGCACAATCAGACCTGATTTTGCTACACACTTTGCAGCATAGCCCAAACATTCCAGATAACGACAGCAATCGTTATATTGTTGACACTGAAATATTTAAAATATTTTATATATTTAAAAATATTATTTAATGTTATTAGTTAACGTTAATTATTATTGTAAATACCGACAAAACACGTTCAAAATTTAATATAATATTTAATATAATATCTTAACATTTTTATATGTAAAATATCATATATAAAACATATATTTTATAATATTTTATTTTAATTGTTCTCTCTCTCTCTTTCTCTCTTTCTCTCTTTCTCTCTTTCTCTCTTTCTCTCTTTCTTTCTTTCTCTCTTTCTCTCTTTCTCTCTTTCTCTTTTTTTCTTTCTCTTAATCTAATAATAAATTCTATTATACAATATATACAATATATTACACAAAAATATAAATGCAATCGAAATACTTACATATCCTCCCATAGGACTACACGTAGCTTCTTTATCTCCTTGAGGAGCAGCGAGTGCCATAGCAATCATGATGAGAATGGTGAAAATAACGCACTGTTGACTATATTTTAAAATAATTTATATATATAAATAAATAAATAAATTACTTTTCTTGAGTAGCTGTTGCACAGATCGCAATTGATAATCGCAACTGATCGATATTTGATTTTCAGAGAGCATTTATACTTTGTGTCACACTTGCGCAAATAAAAAATATCAAAACATTGTTTACATTATTTAATATATGTATAAAAAGAAACATCTGCGCTGTAATACTTACGATGTTAAAGTAAAGATAATAGATTCATTTCTCTTTTAAATTATTTTATATATAATTATAAAAAAATCATATTTTGTTGCAGTTTTGTACAGCATTTTGCATTTAATTGACATTGAAATGTCTTATAACATTCAATATATGTTACAAATTAAATTGCATAATATAATAATTAGATTAGGTATTAATTATAACTATATAAAATGTAAAAAATTATATCTAATTATATTATGAAACACAAATTATTTAAATATTTCATTATCGTTGTAATTTTATTTAATAATTAAATAACTCTACATCGTGTATAATAAATTATATACAAACTAAAAAATTTTTCATGCATTATTTATAAAAGTATAGGATGATGAGAATATAGGAAGCTAGTAACTACTGTATAATTTTATATTATATATGTTACAAATTAAATTGCATAATATAATAATTAGATTAGGTATTAATTATAACTATATAAAATGTAAAAAATTACATCTAATTATATTATGAAACACAAATTATTTAAATATTTCATTATCGTTGTAATTTTATTTAATAATTAAATAACTCTACATCGTGTATAATAAATTATATACAAACTAAAAAATTTTTCATGCATTATTTATAAAAGTATAGGATGATGAGAATATAGGAAGCTAGTAACTACTGTATAAATTTATATTGTTAGTTAAAAAGTACATTATTAATTCATTTATTTCAATATAATTTATAATAATAAATTTTTAATAATATGTTTATAGGTTATTTAACATGTTTCTTTAATAACTTCAATTTTGGCTTCAATATCATTTTTAGCGCGGTTACTCAAGATAAAATGATTTATCATTGAATGCTTTAAGTAAATATTCACTGTATATTCAGTTGTAATAGCATATTTTTTAACACGGAAAATAAAAAGAAATCGGTTGTAGTAAATTAGAATGACTATATTATATAAAATAAGCTTTAAATAATTAATTCAAATCTACGTATAAAAATTGATATTATTATATAATTTTTAATTATATCACAATATATCGAACAATTATTATCTTGTTATAGTTCACGTTAACAAAATGTGTACAGTTGTCTCTAATATAAGAACATTTGCGCACAAATATCCTCTTATAATTATTTTCATAATCTTTACAATTATAATAATTTTAATTAGTTTGATAACGTAAAAAGGGAAGAATATGAAAGAAATTTTGCCGTATAATGAATAAACAAATATATGTTTTTAATTATGATGTAAGGGTAAATTACATTTAATACATTCTTTTCTAAATTAAGCAAAAGATTAAATTGTACTTATGGAAGGTAATCCAAATTAATCACTCACTCCTTAGTTAGTTACTGGAGGTTCTCTTGGCCCACACGGGCCGATTGGGATTCCTTCGGGGGGTCCTCCAGTGCAACGATTTACGCATGGATGGCATACAAAACCTTTACAACATTCACTGGTACTTGAACACTGTAAGATCACGCGAAATTATATATACGGTTTTATCGGTGATATCATTTTTGAGAATTGTTCAACTTAACAACATTATATATATTTTGCCATATAAATTGATATGATAATTATTGTGGAGCGGAATGTAATATTAAATTACATGATTAATATTAATGGCTTTGATGATTAGTGTACGTTTTGTTACATTAATAAAAGATTTAGATATATATGTATAATTTTGAATGATAATGCAACGGGGTACTTACCAGTTGGCCAGGTAGAGTGCAAGCCATGACCAAATTCACTGCGAGAAGCGCAAAGCAAAGAAGTAAAACAAGTTTTCCCATCTTAATAGTTTTTGCTGATCTCTTTTCTATAAAAAAAATTTAAAGATTGAAGAAGAGAAATACTTTTAAATTAGAGATAGTGGAAGCTCACGTATTCACCTGCAGTTCGCTCTCTTCAAAATGTTCTGTGAATCTTTCCGTAGTTTCCCAGCTTATATATAGATCAATATGTACATAGAACTACGAAAAAATAATCTTTTTAAATACAATATGTGTGCGTGAAGAGTGCACTTTGATAATCTTAATATACGTTGTTTAAGTGTTACTCACTGATATTATCGATATTATCAGGTTTCATCTTTTGTTTAAATAGCGTGAGCATCAAACGGATAAACACGTTACGTAAAGATGTACGCATTCTCGACGATCTTTTTATAAAACTCCGGAAAAATTATAAACCCCCCGCAGAACAATATCGCGATAACAAAAGCCTTTTCGCGTGGCTTGCGATAGTGGAGCAATCGCGTCATTTCTGTTCATTTTTGCATTAGCCATCCAATATATTCATTGCGATCAAAATAACTGATACCTTGAGAAATAAATTTCAATATCTGTAAGACACATATAATAGATTTAATTTTATTAACTCTAATATATACATTTATTATTCATATAAAGATTTGTGCGTGCAAGGGAAAAAATTACTTTTTGTCATAAATTTTTGACAATAATAGCACAATTATAAGATATTATTAAAAAATATTATTAAAAATTGATAATAATTAGATTATGAAATATTAAATGAATCTGTCGATATCTAAATCTTTTCCTGTTCTTTTTTTTTTAACGTAAATTTTCTTTTAAGTTATTATTTTAAATCTCATTAAAACAGGAACACATATCTTATTAGCAAAAATATAAAATTTATCATAAATCAGAAATTATTTTAGATTTAATACACAACTATAAAAATAACAAAAGTAAAAAAATATATAAGAATAGCAGTAGTTTAATAAATATAATGCTACAGGGAATCTATTTTTATTTGAGTTAAAAGTTTAAATATCATTAATGCAATATGCCCTACAATAATATATGTAATATATGCTAATAATATTACTAAATATACGTACATAAGATAGCCTACTCAAAAACAAGTTATTCTAAAATACCGTTAGTTCAAATTATTATTTGATGTGCTCGCCAAATTCAAAATTGATTTAGCATTAATGCAGCTATAGTTTGCAGCCTTTGATAACCATTATTCGTTTTCTCGCTATAATTTATCTACGCAAAGTCATTATTTTGACATTTCGTCGCGATTTCGCGAATGATGTGACAAAATATAATCATGTTTTGTCAACAGTACCATCGTATCCAACCGTCACGCTGTGCAAAGCGGTTTGCACATTCCCAACTTTTTATTGTCCGAAAGTGTCACGATTTGATGTTAGTTGTAATCGTCCATTACGTTTTTCGCGCGCTGTCGGCGATAATTGGCGACACCACCGGCGTAATATTTCAGAACACGCGCCGTGTAACACGCTCACGTGTCATTCGGCCTATCAAAACCGCTCTCTAAATTGATTCAATTGATTGTCGTTCCTCCCTCCCTTTTCCTCCCGTGAGAGAAATCTTTTCGAATATTTTCTAAAAATTGATAATGATTATCATGCCTTTTTTCTCAAACACATTATTTATTAACTTAAAATCCAGATCTGTTATTTGAATCAACTCGAATATAATAGAAATTACTTGTTACTATCGATTCTAACAATGTTTATAAATATAACGTACATAATAACAATTAACAAACACGTGTTATAATGATTTTTTTTTTTTTAATCTGATAGTATGATACTTTATAAAGCCAATAGCCAGATTACAACTTAGTAATATTTATAATATATATATACAAATATCAAGATATATAATATATCAAAATAAGATATGAAAATTAAGTGAAATAAATATTACCATATCGTTTGTTGTTTTATATATTGCTCTATTGTGAAAATAAACGATATTATAAAATGTTAGCCAATTTTTATGCTGCTTAGCGCTTTAATCAAAATTTTGTTTTTAACTTTCTCTGAATCCCCATGAATTTCAGATATTTTCATCTAGCTAAATTAACAATATCAATAGTACATGGATATTATAATGAATTGGATATTATATAATGGATATTATATAATTTGTATAATTTGTACATATAGTATTAATTACATACATTAATAACAAACAACATCGATGCAGCATACTGCCAAAAATATGTAAACGCCTAATTCCCACTGTCACTCCCCCCCCCCCCACCGTACCTACTATAAATAATATTTTCTCTCTATACGTAAAGTTCGCTTAATTGAGTGCGCCATTACCTGTAATTTAATGCAATGTAAACGATTAAAACGTTTATCAAATTCGGTCTTGATTCTGAACTAACTGATGTATGGTAAATCATTTCATTATGACGATAATTGTGCAATTATAAAGTGGTAAATATGTAGTTGGGCGAAAAATCGGGAGAAAAATTCTTCGGCTCGTACTGCGAAGGCAAAACATTAAGTGGAGGAATTCGATAAGATGGGAAATCCTGGTACGAAACGGCAGAAATTGCATTTTTCTACGTGAGATGCATTCGACGAAGCCTGCGTCTCATGATAAAATTACTGGAAATGCGGGGTTATCTCAATGCTATTCAAGCATTTCAAATTATCGACGTATGTGTGTATGTATGTACGTCGCAGCGCATAATCATATGTGTCGTGCGATCATTAAAGTGACGTGAATCATATTCAAGAATCAGAGTCTCTTTCGAAGAAACGATAATGCTGCATACAACGTTATCTCTTCCCCGTATTTTCCAACGAGTTCTACTTTATAAAATTTATTACTTGTGCCGCCTATAAATTGCGATTATTCTGAAACAAACTTTTCTTTAACTGTGTATGAGAAAAAGCACATTAGCACGTTCTCTGCTTTTTAATTACATTAATCATAAAATTCTGTATAATTTTAAATCAAGAAATGCACACGATGAATCGGCACATTTCTGTTATAATCTATGATGTCTTATTTCACAGAGCGATCATAATAGAATTGTCGTGTTTTGAACGTGGCAAATGAATTACCTTCGCCTCCACAGGCTGACGTTTGAATTAGACTTGCGTGCAGAGAGTGTGTATATTTGTATCCCTTTCCTTAACACAGTGCAACATCTACACGCACTTCCGACTTACATTTCCGAGCTAACCACTCCTTTCCGTTACACGCGACGGCTCAACCCCTAAGAAACCATTAAGCTTGTTATAAAATTACCATAAATGTCCAAGATAAAAACAACAGCTGCCAACTATATTTAGTACCCGAAAATATTAATCGCGGAATTTTGGATAAAAATTAAATAAAACTTTGAGCAAAAAATGAATTATTTTTGAATTGTTCTATATTAAATAAATAATTTAACAATATATGTATTGTAAGATGCAAGAAATTTTATTAAATATAAGTGATTATTATATGATTAATCCAATTCAAATTTGATTAAGACGATATTTTCATTAATCTAGAAAATTATCAAATTAAAACTTCAAAACCAAGACAAAATATTTGTAAATATTAATTGATAATTTTTTATAACAGTCGATTATTTTGTATACATATTTCTCTATATAATAATATTACTGGTAAAATTAAAAAGTGTGTGATTTAGCATTTTTAATTAAAAGATCAGTTCCAATAAAAGAAGAGGTGCTCAATAAGCAATTGCCGTCATTTATCTCGTGCGATATCAGAATAATTATTGGACCTATCAAAATTTTCCGATAGCTATGTTGTTTTGATCATTCCGGAGTGATAACGAGACGGAAAACAATATTCTTTTGTATTGGAAACTATAGATTTACTCGTTATCAAGTATATAGGTGAAACACACGAATGTTCAATGTAAATAGAAAACTCTCGCGCCTAAGTTAGGCAAGTTGATAGATAAGTATCTAATGATCGATCTATATAATGGAGAAAAAGTCTCTTTCTTGTTACCTGTTTCTCGTATTCGGACGATGTGCACTTAGATTTCGCCTCGATAGAGTCACTTAAGCGATAAATCTTGGCCGACGTCGTCGTCCCGTCTTTCGCGGTTTTGTCCTGTAGGATCTATCGCTCCCTTAGTTAGCGGACTCGGCTGCCCCGTCATCTCGCTCGCGTTCTTCGGCGTAAACGTCGCTTGGTATCGTTCTCTTCTCCCCACCAGAACGAGAGAGTCAGAGTCTCTCTAGGCTGAAGTGCCGGACAATTTGATAATTGGATCTGCGGCAGTGCTGTGATTTACGCGCAGGAGGGTCCAGGGTTGACCGTCCGGGAGGTTACCACTATACGCGGAACCGCTCCGGAAGTAAAGTGGAGGTGATTTCGACAGATAAAGAGAAACCATTAAGCTTGTTATAAAATTACCATAAATGTCCAAGATAAAAACAACAGCTGCCAACTATATTTAGTACCCGAAAATATTAATCGCGGAATTTTGGATAAAAATTAAATAAAACTTTGAGCAAAAAATGAATTATTTTTGAATTGTTCTATATTAAATAAATAATTTAACAATATATGTATTGTAAGATGCAAGAAATTTTATTAAATATAAGTGATTATTATATGATTAATCCAATTCAAATTTGATTAAGACGATATTTTCATTAATCTAGAAAATTATCAAATTAAAACTTCAAAACCAAGACAAAATATTTGTAAATATTAATTGATAATTTTTTATAACAGTCGATTATTTTGTATACATATTTCTCTATATAATAATATTACTGGTAAAATTAAAAAGTGTGTGATTTAGCATTTTTAATTAAAAGATCAGTTCCAATAAAAGAAGAGGTGCTCAATAAGCAATTGCCGTCATTTATCTCGTGCGATATCAGAATAATTATTGGACCTATCAAAATTTTCCGATAGCTATGTTGTTTTGATCATTCCGGAGTGATAACGAGACGGAAAACAATATTCTTTTGTATTGGAAACTATAGATTTACTCGTTATCAAGTATATAGGTGAAACACACGAATGTTCAATGTAAATAGAAAACTCTCGCGCCTAAGTTAGGCAAGTTGATAGATAAGTATCTAATGATCGATCTATATAATGGAGAAAAAGTCTCTTTCTTGTTACCTGTTTCTCGTATTCGGACGATGTGCACTTAGATTTCGCCTCGATAGAGTCACTTAAGCGATAAATCTTGGCCGACGTCGTCGTCCCGTCTTTCGCGGTTTTGTCCTGTAGGATCTATCGCTCCCTTAGTTAGCGGACTCGGCTGCCCCGTCATCTCGCTCGCGTTCTTCGGCGTAAACGTCGCTTGGTATCGTTCTCTTCTCCCCACCAAAACGAGAGAGTCAGAGTCTCTCTAGGCTGAAGTGCCGGACAATTTGATAATTGGATCTGCGGCAGTGCTGTGATTTACGCGCAGGAGGGTCCAGGGTTGACCGTCCGGGAGGTTACCACTATACGCGGAACCGCTCCGGAAGTAAAGTGGAGGTGATTTCGACAGATAAAGAGAGAGAGAGAGAGAGAGTCTTCTCGCAAATTAGCTAAAACTATGTCTCTACTATGGCTAGACGCTGTTTTACAACCTTCCCCAATTCTCGTTACGGTGCAAACATTACCTCAATACTCTCGCTATCACGCGATATATCGATTGCGCGTAGATCACTCGGATATGCATAAGACATTGAAATGCGAAATTATTAATCGATAAAGATCGTCTATATTTTCGTGCGATAGAACATTACGATCGTAACGATTTCTAATTGTACCACTGCAAATTTCTTTATGACATAGATCGCATTTGCGACTGATACATTTTTAAATCAAAAATTAGAATATTAGAGAATTAGAACAGAATTAACGTATCATGAAAAATTAGCTAAAGGCTCACATTTTTTTTTTTTTTTTTAATTAGGACAGAACGTACACGAGCATACACATTTTATTATCCAATAAATGCAACGATTATCTCGAGAGTTTAAAATGATCCCAGGTATATTCTAAAACGCGAGTACAAAGAGAAGCCTGGTAAGGATCGCGAAAATTTGCTTACAATTCGAACGACGTGACCCCGTATGGGGATTCTACGAGTTGAATCAAATCTGCAACACTGAAAGAAAATGATGATCCGTAAAACGAAACGATGAGAAGATGCTGTGAGAAGAATATCGTAAAGTCTCCCTTCGCTTAGCGAAATGCTTCAACCTGCTCATCGTCCGCCCTTGGGTTGGCTTTTCAGCTTCGCCACGCACGTCGCAACGCGTTAACCATAAAATACCAAGGCGAGAGATTGCCGTGAAATAAACTCCGGGCAGTAGCTTCTTTATATCGAAAAAACGCGTAAACGCGTGGCAAATTTCTTTTGTCGTCATCCGCGAGGAAACATTCTAGGAAGAGCAAAATTACTAGCATCTTCTTTATATAAAGCATTAAATGTTTTTCATTTGACGGTATTTTATTATACAACCTTTATATGAGATTAGTAAAACTCAAAAATCCATCTGACAAATTTTGTAAATAAACAAGTAATAAATTTTGTAATAAACGAGATATTAAATAAGAATGTAAGTACGAATCGATTTATACGTTACATTATGTAACTCTCTATCTCGTCGTACGAACGTCACAATTTATATCACAAAATGCACACATATATATAATACTTAGGGATATATCTATAAAAAATTAAAATTAATTGATCATAATTTATAGTAAGAGAAAACAAATGTTTAATCAGATTTTGTCTAATCGATTTTTAAGTTTCCAATAAAGACAGTTGCCACTGTTGCGCTTGCGCTATTTATTTATCGTCGCGTGTGTATATCGAAACAAACAATACAACAGCGACGCTCGCACATCGCACTTAAATTGTAAATTGACATATGTTATTTTTTAGTTAGTGCACATTTTTTCTAAAAAACTTGACAATATAGGTAAAAAAGAAGTACGAAATATATCGCAAAAATTTATTCATATAAAATTAGGAATGTAGATAATGTTTTCTTGCTATTAGGTATTCTACTTAAACTCTTTTTTATTTCTTTACGTTTTTAGAATATACTCGCGTTGACGAAAGTCACTGAAAGTCATCCGGAAATTCGCGAGGCGATATTATCGAAGCGATCGTAACAAGTCCCTGTGAAAGAACGCCCATGGTTTACGCGACTTTTTATATCTCGTGTAAGAGAGTTTCTCGGCTGTAAAATGCTGAAATCGAGGGCATGACGTTGTGGTATTCTCGCGGTCTGTTCACGCGGTGATGTTCACAGTATATGTATGTGAATCTTTTCGCAGCGAGAAGAGAAGTGCTGGGATGCCGCTCGCGGCCGGCGCGAAAAGTTTAAGCGGAGAAAGTATGCTCGAGCTGGCCACCACACCGAGAGAAAGAACGTCGGAAAGTTTGTGAAAGGGAGTGGGAAAGAGCGGACGAAGTCTTTCCTGGCACTCGTATTATTTCCGCCAGGCGCGTGTTTCCGCGCGTTATCCTCGCTTTCCCACCTCGTCTCGGTCGTCCCGAAGGCGACGATGGTGTAATGGTTTCACGACATACGCGTTTTACTGTTAATTGATATCTCGTCGTTTCTCTTTCTTCTCTTTTTCTCTTTCTCCCTCTGGCAAGAAAATAAGGCGGGATAATTAATTCAAGAATAATGCACGAGCGATAGAATAATCAAAGGAATTTGACATTATTTTATTTCTTTCTTGATACTTATTGTTTCTTCATGAAATAAACGGAAATTCGGGAAAAAGAGAAAGAAAGAATTTACATTTTTTTTCACATTTCTTTCCTTTAAGATAAATATTTATTTTATAAAACTTTGCTCGTGATATAATTTTATCTTCGCGTAAAGAATATTTCTTATTCTTCGGTCTTGCAACGTCTAAACTGCAAACAGCTCAGAATTGCAAACATGATTCAACTCTGAATACGATGTCGTAAGTCGTAGAACGTGTAAATAAAGAAAAACAAATGTTCGAAGGCAAAGCCGTAAGCCGGATCTTCGGGTGCGATGCTAGAAAGGTAATAACCTTTATCTGCGATAAAAGAAATTAATCTTACGATGAAACGGTCAAAGTAAACTTGGCGAGCTATATCTCGTCTTGTGCAATGTAATCTCAGCTTTACTGTCTTAAGTAAATAGTATCGCTTGAATTCTCTCTCCTTGTACAACATAACGGATTCATGTAGATTTCGGCTTTTTGAGGTTTATGTAATGAATAAAATCAGATGATTCAAATTGAATGATTTCTGAACATTTTCATTCCGATATGAATAAAATTAGATAAAATTAAATCATTTAATTAAATAAGATGAAATTTTTATGTAGTTTTTATATATATATATAAAGCTTTTTTAATGTTCATTTTAATGTCATATATAAAAACAGTAATAGTTTTATGAGAAATTAAAGTATTATTAAAACAAATTATATATATCTCTCTCTTCTTCTCTTAATAATAATTTATTCATATGATAATCGAGGCTGCGAGAGGAGAAAAAGGCGAATTGCCACTCTCGACCGTATTCAGTTAAATACAATATTTAAGGAAGTAAGTTGATTTCATGAAATATATTAGTAAACTTTTAATTCGACCGAAAAACCTTGAAACGTTATAAATAAGATACACTTCGTTGTTCACACTTGTTCCTTTAATTATAACTGCGGTGCAAATAATCGCACGTATTCGCGAGACTGTGAGACGTGTACGAAGATTCAAGTAATAAGCGATAACAGAAACGTTCGAAAGAGCGAAATATCTATGCGGGAGAAAAGTCTTAATTTCCTCTCAACGCTACCCCGCTCACTGGCAGAGACCCGCGGCCCGTTTTTTAAGTCTGACGCGTGTTGGCCTTTTAAAGGCTTTTCTTCCAGCTGTTTAGGTTATTATAAGGACCGAAGGCAGGGACGAGAGCCACCGCGTCGAAAGGGTGACCATCCGCTCCCGGCCATTTCCTAGCAATTTCCTGACGCTGTTTTTCACGTGAACTTTTGAACTCGTTTCACCGC